ATGAGCTCTCATTAAAGGTAGTAGAAGAGTTTCCCACTAAATTTGGAAAAAAATGAATAGAGCAAAATCAAGGATATAAATTTTTTATATAAAATTTAACACAATATAAAAAATAAATTTATGTGACTTGGTAAGATCTCATCTCATCCACATCCGCACAGAAAAAAAAATCACTATAGTTTAAAGCTAATGCATTATAATTTTCTCTTCCATAATCTTTTAAACTTAGGAGAAGGATGGTAAATACCAAACAAGCATATTAAATATATGAGGAAATTAATATCGAAAGAACCTTGATTCATATCATTACTCATAGTGGTAAAAAATATTTTTTTGCACCTTGTCTTTAGCACTCTGCATCATATTTTGATAGTTCACGACAAAGAAATACTACCGGGATGGTGAATCACGTTCTTACGTTTCTTTGGTCCTTATTTCTCAATCAAGTTTTTATTTTTTTCCACAACGGCTTCTTTCCTCCTCTTAAATAATCTATGACATCAATTATGCATAAATGCTAAGAAAATTCATATATTTGGGATACGTAGAAGTTCAGGAAAGCATCCAATCTAGCAATCTCTTCATTGGAGATCAAAATTTTAATGTAATAACTTATAGAAGTTAACTCTGCAGACTGCATGATGCTTTTGCATTACTAAATCTTTAAATATAGTGTTATTAGTTTCGACAATTATATTATTTTAATCTTTCGATAATCAGAATTCAAAATTATCAACTCAATGCCCAATGAGAGAACATTTTTAATGTTTATGATCCAACTTATCTCTATTAATGTAATCCGAATATGCATTAGAAAGACAAACCTTTAATGCTAAATCTTGAACTTTTTTGCTTGTCCAAGCTACTTTAGATATTACATAGTACATAAGAACTATGGTACTTTACTAATCAGATAAGCTATAGTGCTCATGGCATCTTCTCAATTATGTTGGGCAATTTTGCATGTTGTCACATATTTAAAATCTTTTATTTTGAGTCATGTTCAACACTCAAAAATTTGATTATCTGTATCCTATTAGCTGCAAAATCTTTGAATTATTTGTTAGCGTGTTCTCTGACATTATTTGAACTTAGAAATTTGTTGTTTGTAATAGTTTCTTTTTCTTTCAAGATCTAACTTTTAAAAGTATCAAAGATATAAGAGTTATTTTTCAAAAAATAAACCCTAGTACCTTTTTAGTGGGGATGTTGATGAAGATGACATGGTAAGGTGAGCTACTTAGAGATGAAGAATGGAATTCTTCTCATATGATAGTGTATATAAGATTAAATCTTGGAGTTTTAGGTTTTTTTTCAATTTTTTGAAGACCAAACCTTTAATTTTTTTATTATAGTTCTAAAAAAATACTTCATTTTTTTTTTCATCAAGTGTATAATTGGGATCAAATGCCTATTTAATCTTAGAATATCTTAGTTTGTGAGGTTTCGTTATAGTTTTATCAGTAGTTTTGATTTGAAAATCATTGATTTCTAAAATATTTTTTCATAGGTTTTCATAAAGTAATTAGACATTCTTTTTATTTTCATTGGAGTGAAAAGTGACACCTGAGTGTAGGATCCTAGTTTCCATGGACTGAGCATTGATGATTAATTTATCCTAAATAACTTTTGGAGTATAATTGGAAATCACCATGCGTTTTTATATTGCACAAACCTCGTTTATGTAAAATCTTCATTTTTCACAAACAAAATAGGCCAAAACACAACAAGTAAATGAGCCCTCATATTATTCATTTTTTTAGAAAAAGTATTTTTCAATAATTTCTCTTGATCATTGACTCTTTGGTAAGAAACTTAATTTTTCAATTATAGTTCTAAAAAATACTTAAATTTTTTTTCATCTAGTGTGTAAACGGGATCAAATTCCTATCTAACCGTAGAATGCCTTAGTTTGTGGGGCTTCATTATAGATTTTTCAGTAGTTTTGATTTGAAAATCATCGATTTCTAAAATATTTTTTCATAGGTTTTTATAGAGTCATTAGATATATTTGTTTTATTTTCACTGGAGTTAAAAGTGACACTTGAGTGTAGGATCGTAGGTTCCATGGATTGAGCGCTATCCTAAATAACTTTTGGAGTATAATTGGAAATCACCATGCATTTTTATACTGCACAAATCTCTTTTATGTAAAATCTTCATTTTTCACAAACAAAATAAGTCAAAACACGACAAGTAAATGAGCCCTCGTATTATTCAAAATTTTTTTCTTACGTATTTTTCTGTAATTTCTCTTGATTAGTGACTCTTTGGCAAGCTACCTATATTGAATTATTGTTCTTATAATGAATTTTCTTTTAAAGTCTTTGGCGTTGTAACATTTTTTTAACATTGAATTTTGGGGCATTTATATACATCACTCAATTCCTGACACCTAAATTTTCTTTTTACATTAATAAAACCCAAACTTTCATATCATATAAAAAATATCACCATTTTAAATTTTATTAGATGAAATGCACTTTTTTTTGTATATATTGTCACCACACAGCATGAGACTTGTAATTTGCCAAGATGGGAACTAAAAGTCGGACGGTGAAAATAAATTCTCTAATTTTCTATTTATGTCACTAATAATTAAATATTAAAATATTCATGAAAGAGCGACTAAAGAAAGTAAATTTAATTAATAATTAAAAATTTGTATCTTTCGTCTTGCTGTTATCGTCTTTTATACACATTTGATCCTCTCCTATTCATCTTAATCAAAAGCTTAAATCTAAAATAATTTAAAAACAACATAATGAGTTATCTAAAGATAACGCAGAAGTAACCACACTTCTAAATTATATTAATTCAAGGAAAAAAAAATCAATATGCTTGTTGATCTTTTATATCTGTATAATAAATACTTTACTATGTTAATCATTTATATGAAATCTTTAAATATACTAATGCATGTATCAATAACCTTTATAATACCCTAAATTTCTAGAGGCATTAATATTTATTTATTTTTATACTCTTTACATACACATCTGTCTGCTTTGAGGATCACAATCAAAACAACCTAACACACTTTTGGCCTATATTGCCCCGTCGGCTCCTGTTGGCACAGCTGTTAGTGAGCTACACATTGCAAAAGACCCTTACTTGCCCCTGATCGATATTATCCCATCGGCACAACAATTAGCAATATAAACATCACAATTGTTTGGGGAGGTAAGCTCTAGTCTACTTGCTATCACAACAGTCAATGAACTATCATAATTGTCTATGGTGTTAGAAAAACCTCTGCGCGCGTGAGCACACTGGCGTCCCTTACATGTACTATTAGGAGGTGAAATCGTTCTCTGAACATGCACATACAAACATTCATATATAAGTTATTTCATTTTTTTATATCATGCATTTTCTTCTATGAAACATTTAGCTCTATTTGTTGACGAATAATGCAAACTTACTATATTTATAAGTCTTGAAATCAACTAACATATGCATATGTACTAAAATTCTAGAGGTTAAATAATAATATGGCAAATATATGTAACCATGCAATCTACTTATATTTAGACCTCTACTAAAGTCATGAAATGATCTGATATCATCCTAAACTAAACTGTTATACAACTATATTTAGCACACACATCTTTCAAGTCTGACAATATGAATAATTTATTGCTGAACATGGGAATACATGAAATCAAATATAATTTGAAATAAAAATAATTACTAGAATTTAGAAAATATAATTACTCACCTTGATTAAAGAGACTTTTGAAACATTTATCCCTTCACTTCACTTCACCTAGTGCTTTAACGGCTTTATACTTTAATTCAACTGGTTGATAAATTAAAATCACTAAAATTAGTTCATAAATTTTATTGATATACAATTAACATCACATTTAATTAACTAATTTACGTAATTAATACATAGAACTTAGAAATATTTACCTTATCCCTCTCGAATGCCTTGCTTCATTTCCTCCTCAATTTCCAAGAATTTATTGGCCTTTAATTCCTTGTTAGAATTTCTTCGATAAAAGACACTATTTTAATTAAAATTTTTATTAATATTGTATAAATCTCACACACACACACATAAATTCATTAATTAGCTTAGTAAACTTAACATACCTTAAAGCCTTTTATGTCTGCAACTCTTCCTTTTTTGCACAAGGAAATCTTATTGCTCTCCTCTCCTTAAATTTGCAACTTACTAATTTTGATCTTAATATAATTAAACTTTCTATTAGCATTAATTGAATAACATCGAACTCTCATATATACACATATATATAATTAATGTAATTAATTAAAATAAGTTATAAAACTCACCTTAACATTGTGCCAACCCTTCCCGCCACACGCACGAGAGCTCTGTTCCTTTACTTCCCTTCAGCCTCGGCTAACCTCGACAGAGCAGCGCATGGTTTAACTCTCCTCCCTCATCGACTCAGCCTAGAGCACGCCACCACCTCTCCTTCCTTCTCTCTCTGCACACACGCGAGCACGACTGCTTTCTTTCTCATTTTTGGCTTTGACTTGGTCCAGGTAAGTTCTATGCTGCTTCTTTGTTTTTCAACTAGTCCTTCTACCTCACGTGGCTCGAAAGCCCTAATTGTATGCAGTACCTTGATCCTCTACTTCTTCGCGGTTACTATTGCGTGGCTTTATAGCGCCGAAGTGACCTCCTCCCTCCTTTGCATGTGAAAATGATACTACAACCCTTCTTTCTCTTCGACTTCTTCTTCCTTTCTCTCCCTGCACAGTAGCCACAACTTCTTTCTCCTTCTTGCTCACTTTATTCTCCTTCTTAATTGTTAATTAGGTCAAACAATTTAATCCCCGGGAAGAGGTGTTCCCTCCTAACAGACACCTATTTTTATTTTATTTATTATTATAATTATTTTTTTATGTTATTACATATCTAAGGTGATATATATGTAAAAATTAAAACTTAGGTGTTAGATATGTAAATATATTGGAATTGAGTGGCATTTATGTAAATCTTCCTTGAAATTTTCGTTTTGCAGATTCGGCAGCCACACATATAAGAAGTTGCAATGGCATAAAAACAATTCTGCAATTTCTAGAGCTCTCTGACGAATCATGTAGAGCTCATTCCTTCAGACTTCTAAGTCTCTTATCAGAAAAAATGGGGCAAGTTATTCTCGAAGAGTTCAGATCATCTGGAAAAATTCCATTTCTCAAAGAAAGATTACAGTCTCCTCATTCTCCACTTCCTGAAAAAGCTGACATTTCATGCATCCTTTCCAACCTTCCATTTTCAGACACTGAGGTCACAAATCTCTTAGGCCCAGACCTTCTTACATGGGCAGTCACTCAAGTTAAGATTCAGAGCTCCAATTCTCTTGGGAAAAACTCGAAGAATGCTCGAAACATGATAGATGGTCTTCTTGGTCTCCTTCTGCATTATTCAAAGAATCATGACCCAAAAATAATATCCCTAATTCAAGAAACTCACTTCATGGCCATTTTCCGGGAACAACTCAGCAACCATTCAAATCACCGAGTGAAGCGTCTCGGAGCTCTTGGTTTGAAGTATCTTTCGGAATCAGCCAGTCTATCTTCCGCAACCAGAGACTCTGAAGTTCAACCTTTTACTGGCTTCTGTGCTCCCTTTGTCTTACTTTGTGGCAAACCTTCTGTGATTCGGAGTCAGTGCCCTTTTCATAGCGTTCATTGCGCCGATGATAGCTCGTTCTGTCTCCTGAAAGCAAACGCAATCAAGCAGCTGATCGATCTGATGGACGATGATAACATCGAAGTACAGTTAGCTGCTGTCGAAGCACTTTTAACGCTTATTTCGGATACTGGAACTTTCGAAAAAGCTGTGGAAAAACTCGAAGAGTTTGGTCTTTTTAAGGAGGCAGTTCTTCTCTTGAAAGGACTCGGGCCAGGAGAGCTTCAGGAAAGAGTTGTGTTGATGGTGGACATATTTTTGCAGAAGAAGAGTTTGGCTGAACAGTGTGCTACAAATTCAGATCTGGTGAAGGCTTTGGTAGAAGCTCTTAAGCACGGAAATGCGAACACAAGAAGCTATGCTCAGGATGCCCTTCAAAATTTAAATCAAATATCTGGAATTGGGGATAGATTGTCGAGATGAAGCATTTGAAGTAAAGTCGACACGAAATTTCGCAGTCCAGCCCAGAATTGTAAAAACTAAAAGAATAAGGGGGTCTGGGGTTGCTAATGTGGGTGTCTGATTGAAACAAGATGCAAAAATTTTGCAGAGGTAAATATCTCATATTCTGCTGGGTTTTTATGTAAGGATGAATAAGATAATTTATTGTGCAGTTCAGTCTTTAATTTGTATATTTTTGTTCATCTGAAAAAAATGAAGTTTAGGAACACTAGTAAGTTTGATGAAGTTGTAATTTGAGGAGTCCTTTGAGAGACCAATATTTGTTTTATTCTTAATTACTAGGCCCTTGTAATTGTAAATCTATTATTTATCAAAGAAGGTACCTTTCTAATTTTGCAATTACACTTCTTCTTTCTAGTATAATTTTCTTTAGAAAATTTACATATATACCACACAATTCTTATGTGTTGAGCTTGTTATCCTTTAAATATGAAAAGAAATATTCTTTTATGCTATTTGTTTATTGTTAGCCAAGTAATGCTTCATCTGCACTATATTACTTTTGGAAAAACTTTAAATGATTCTCATGAGTATGGTCAAATAAGGCCATCCATACACATCAAAATGCCATTTAAACTTTCTTGGGGATAAGATAGCTTTTTTGAATCATCCTCAAGCCCATGACCGAAAAGTAAAGTAATAGATTAAAGCTTTAGAATCATCTTATAATGGTTCCTCTGCTTATTTGAACTTTGAAAACATTTTTGAAATAATAATGAGATATTGTTTAATTTTGGTTCATTTAAATTTATTTTTGCTTATGTTTTATTCATTTTATGATTATCGTGCTTTAAAAGAGAAGCACATTCAGCCTTTTTTTGAGCTGAGCTTGTTAATCATCTAGATAAACATTAATTTTAATTTAAAATGCTTAGAGAACTAAACAAGCTGAGATAATCTTATCGAGTTAATAAATTGTAATTTTAGTTTTAATATTTTTAGTGATAACTGAGCTTTAAGGAAGTAGCACATTTAGCATTTTAGGGCCGGGCTTATTCAACATGTAGATAAATAGTGTCTTTAATTATAAAGGATTATTAAACTTTAACAAATTGAGATGATCCTACTGAGTTTAGACATTAAAATTTTAATTTTAAAAAGCTTCAAACCATCATTCCAAAGCAAGCTTTTGGTTATAGTTCGGATTTAGAGCTCGAATACTTAAATTACACGTGGAATCTTATTTGGAGGAAAAAAAAAATTACGACCGTTGTCTGGAAGAGCAGATATTACAACCATCATCTGCACTGGTCCGGAAGTGTAGATATTACGACCTTCGTTTGGAAGTGTAGACGACGGCGTAAATAGCACCATGCCGTGCATCCAACACCATCGACCGCACACCTGATTTATCACATAATATTTTCTCCATTTGGAGGCGGAAGGTGCAAAATTCTTGTAATTCACTTCACTTGCATACTCTCTCCGCTTTCATAAGTACAGGACTAAGGTTTTGCACGTGCAAAAGAGCTCAGCAAATAATTATTATGAAAATAATTAATCAATAGACTTTACCTATATGATTTTCTTACAAGTTATGTTGAATTAATGCTGAAATTTCAAGGGGGAAAAAAGGTTATTCTAATTTTAAGCAGATAAAGTATATGAAAGTTGTGCGAACATGTGTGAATATGACATTAAATAATACAAAAAATATTTATGTATTGCCAATAAAATTGCAAGCCCATAACATTGAAAGGCAATGTGTTGAATTTGAACAAAACTTAGGATCCTATAATGTGAGTGTCTATGTTTAAATCCTACTAGCATTGAGCAGAAGAGAGAAAAAGAGCAACTCGTGGAAAGAGAGAGATAAGGAACCCTACTCATCGCCCATTATTATTACATTTGACCCCTATTTATAAGCCCTGGGGTGTTTCTTTTTTCTTGGTATAAAAAATATGTAAAAGTACAAAATGGTAGCTTTATGTCATTCCAACAACTTTATGTATGTTTGACAACTTTATGTCATGTCCGATAACTTTATATCATTTTCTACAACTTTATGTCATATCCCACTATGTAGTTAAATTTGACAATTCGACAGTTTGATAATTTGACAGCTGGACGATTCTCCGATTGGATAGTTTGACCAATTTTTCTCCTAGAGATTTCAACCAGTTCTCCTACTAGGCAGCTTGACCAATTTTCTTGCTAGGCAGCTCGACTAGTTCTCCTGCTAGACAGTTCAACAAGTTCTCTAGATAGACAGTTAAACCAATTTTTTGACTCGACAGTTCAACAAGTTCTCCATCTAGGCTGTTCAACCAGTTTTTTTGCTAATTAGTTCAACCAGTTTTCCTGCTAGACAATTCAACCAGTTCTCCTACTAAACAATTCAACCAATTCTCCTGCTAGACAATTCAACCAGTTCTCCTGCTAGACAATTCAACAGGTAGGTAATTCAAAAATTTGGCGGTTGCGTAGTTCGATAGCTGAGCAATTCAACAATTCAATAGTTGGGCAATTCAACAGTTCGCTAATTGGGTAATTCAGTAATTCGCTAGCTGAACAATTCAACAATTTGCTAGTTGAGTAGCTCGAAGACCCTTTTAGGTGTGTACACAATGGTTCAAGGCACATGAGGGATTGGATATGGAAATGGCAAATTTTGGAATTTCAGTAGAAGCATTTTGAATATAATTCAACACAAAATGCACCAACACAAATAAATTCAGACATGTAGTCGGCTTAGATGAATAAAGGTGTGCAAGACAAATGATGCTAATAAGTGTGGTCAAGGAATGGAAAAAATTAAAATGGTTTAATAAACATAAACTTGTAAACAAGTGATTTAATATATAGGGTTCAATCAAACAAGTAACTAACGTTAATATCAAGGTAAGCTAAATTTCTGACTAACGAAGAAGAGCAAAGATAATAAGTATACCCAACCATAAAAACTACATACACATAAAACAAGCAATCAACGATAAAAAATCATCTACATCATACTGATATTGATGGCTAAATATATAAAATACAAATAGTAAACAATGAACTATTAAGCACAATAGAGGGATCTAAACTATAATATCATGTGTTAAGTCTTAAACTGTCTGTAGGTTATATCAAAATTTTATTCATTTTGAGAAATGAGAAGTCAAAAAAGAGATGCATGGTGGAAGGAAATCCATTAAAATACGGCTTAGGATGAACAAAAAAGAAAAAAGTTAAAAAAGACCAAAATTTGGGCTCTCCAAAGAATTTCTTATTTATAAGTATGGAAATGGTGTCTTAAGCACTATAAGGAAACTTATAGAATGAGCAATACATATGTAAAAGAACTAAGAAATACATGAAACTTGTAACCTTGACACAAGCTTGGTTGGCCTGACAATTGGTTGGAGAAGCCACTATATCTCGTGGTAGCTCTAAGCATATCTTTGGTTCTAGTAGAACTTCATTGGTTTGATTACCCATGAAGATTAGTATGAATGATAGCGAAGTCATTTTAGATCAATAGTGGACGCTTCATTGAAATAGGTGAGAGTCTGTTTATCTTATGCTCGACTGGCAAGCTGTTTTCATCGAACTCAGCAGGTGAGTCCATAGTGGAAGTGAATTTATGAGCCAGTACTGAGTTCGGCTATATGAAATCATCTCTTTTGTTATTTATTTAGGCGAATCTACCTCAAAAATGTACACATTGCAAAACATTCAGAGCAACCACTGCAAAATATATACAATACAATACTTTCTAATGTATAGGAAAACACTAAGTGTGCTCAAAAATCACATTTTTTCCTACATACTCCATAATTTCTCAAGGATACCAATAGTTTCTATCATAAAAATAAGGGGCCTGATTTCTTTCATTTAAAATTTATTTTTATTTAATGATTTAGTTGCATCAATACAATTACGTTAAAAAAAAGTTCACATTTAGAACTTATCCTGTCTAACACCAAAAACTACTTGAAATAGTTTTTTTTAAGTATTTAACACCCCTTCCTCTGAACAACCAAAACTAAATAGCAAATGAAAATAAGCCCTCTAACGCAGAATTCGTCTAATCATGAATGAAGTAATTCAACAAATCATAAATCAAACTATTTGTCTCTAAACTACAAGATAATTGGCCCAATATTTTAAGCAAAATATTAAGTAATAATACTTGGCAGGTTATAATCTACCCTCACAGAAATTTAGCATTGAAATTCATACTAGCGTTTTTATAAAAGTTGGGATACTTGCTCCTTATCTTAGCTTCCATGCAACTTTCTTATCCATTGGATTCTTGAAGAGAACCTTGACCATTATAGTATCCTTTTTATGTATATCTTGGTGTCACTTTTGTTTATGAATTTTACCAAGGACAAATATTGCTTCTAGTTGTCACTAAAGCCTAACATGCACATTCAAAGTAGCACTTCAGAATTTTGATGCCAGCTTAGACTGTCCACTAACTAGATTAGGGAAAATCATGCTAAATTAATAATCATAACCTCATGATTCTGTTTTCATGATCTTAATGTTGCCCACCATTTTGTTAAGATAAGATGTATCGTACACCGTATAATCTAACTATGATATCTATATAATATATAGGACAACAGTTAATATGGAAAATATCAGAAGTTCCTTAAAAATTTAAAGTATGCTTATATTGTACTTATACTATGCTTTTTGGTTCACATTAATCTATTCTTTGCTGTAGTGCGTATTGATTTATATGTAGTTAATAGAAAGTTTCAAACAAAATGCCCACTTGCTATGGTGACGTTTATTTATTTATTATTTAATTATAAGGATTTCACGCTAATATAATCATAAATTGATTCATTTATATTAGGGATTAAATTTAGGACTTTATGATTGAAACCAAAACATAGGATCACTGGGCCAAAATGAGTTGCATATGTTTATGGTTCCATAATTCGTCACTTCATATGAGGTTGATTTAATATTCAAATAACCTACTATCATACAACAAAACTCCAGCTGCCTTATAATACGATTTCGTTAAGGAATAAAATGATTCTCCATGTAACAACAGAATATATATATATATATATATAGAGAGAGAGAGAGAGAGAGAGAATATGCTCAAGAAAGCAACTAAAGACCAAAATGATAACAATTCTAATACATCATCATAAACGCTAATACCAGATTATACATAATTACAACTAATTACACCTATCTGTTCAGCTCATTCCAAAATAATTTTTGAGGGAAGGAACATACCGAGTTCATTCTCCTCCATGAGGAAATCCTGATCAGCAACTAATCTCACAACAGCACAATCTGGGAGCACATGTCTCTCTTTAAGCTCACTGAAGCTCTTCCACAGTACTTGTTCAATCCAACCACCCAAATCACTCCTATTTCTCATCAACCATGTGGCTGCAAGAATCTGCTCCATCACCTTTTCATCAATTTCAAGCATATAATTTGATCCAATTTTGTTGCAGAAGCCCCTGCTCATTTCTTTCAGTACATAATCAGCAAGGGAATCAAAATCAAATGGCTTGAAGCACACGTTTTTATCCATCATGTTAAGGAATTCCTCTAACCAGTCTTCAGAATTCTCCGATGTTGAATTGTTCTCGCTGCCGCTGTTGATGTCATCATTTTGGTCGAGTTCTTCGGCAGAAAGATTCAGGTCCAGATCAATGCCTGAACTTCTATGTAGCCTTTTTATTGATGGGGAGTATTCATTCTGACATTTGTGCTTAGCCGAGAAATCCAGCTCTCTTTTTCTTATAAATACTGTGCATGGAGGGGCAGCACTGTTAGGGGATTCTTGTCTTGATATAACCGATACTTTCGAAATTGATTTACTGCAGAAAGCCTCGGATTCGGAAAACGGTTCAATGATAATCTTCATTTTTCGCCGCTGAGCGGCTAAAATTCTTTCCTCAGGAAAGCTGATGCTGTCTTTTATGGGGGAGAGAGTTTTCGCTGGAAGATCTTTTGCAGTAGTTACAAAGATGGAATTTTGGATGCTTACTTCCCTCCCATGAGAATCGGAGAACTTGCCAGTGCGAATTGAGTTGGATAAGCTGTTTTGAGTTAGCAAGTCGGTCTTGTCAATATTCTCGAGGAGGAAAACGGACAACGGCTTCTTGTTGATCTCCATAGCAATGTGATCAATAATTGTCTTCCCCCTGTTACTCACATTGTAGCTCTTTGAACCTTTTTGGTGAAAAACACCACCTTGGCAGTAGCTATCATCATCATAAGCAAGATCAAGGCAGATCAAATCTTCTTTGGAGGCGAAGATCAACTCAGCTAATGCCATGGCTGCCATCTTCTTTCCAACCCGATCAGGGCCTAGAAAACTCAGCCAAATGGGGCCTCGCAGGCTTGGGCCACGATGCTTTTCGTTTCTCATTTTGCAACGAATAATGGCTTCTTTAATTGCCCACAACGCTTCTTCTTGCCGACCAACTTTCGCTACTAGGCTTGCGTAGAACGCCTTATAATTGCTTGCATCAAACTCTTGAAGTATATTAGGAGAACCCCCACTCCGTTGCTCGCTACGAGAGATACCGCTCCAATTTTTTCCACAAGAAAGAGAATTTGTGGCCGAACAATTGTGAAGAGGGGGAGAAGAAGCATGGAAATCAACTCTTGAAACACATTGACTAGGCTCATTAATCTTTCTGGGTGTATAACAGTGAGACGAACCCACTGAAGATTTTCCATCCAAGGAAAAGTAGTTGTTAGCTGCTCCTAACACCAATTCTGTCGTCACACAGGTCACGGAAGATGGCGAAGTATGGCTGTCCTGAATGCCCAAATCTGATGGAGCAGCTTGACGAGCTTGGAAGCCTCCAGCCAAAATTGGTTCACTTATTGAAAGTTTTTCATGAAGATTAGGTTGCAAGTCCCTGTGTGAAGGTTCTGCAACAAAAGGAGCTGAGATGCTTTGGCTGTTGAAGGCCGTAACGTTTGGTATGCTGCCCACTGATACAGAGAAAGCATTTCCTATGCTGTTTTGGGTTTTAGGTATCGAAGGATTTGTAATGGTGTTGGGGAAAGTTGCTGCATGAGAAATATATGGAATTCCAACGAGGTGTGGAATCACCTGGTTATTTTTTGCCTCTACGAAATGGGAACGAGGATGGACATGCTGGCAGTATTCATTCCACTTCTTTTGCAAATCAATGATTTTAACATTTGATACATTTTTGTCATCTTTAACCTGAAATGGGTGACAGTAATTGAATAAGTATTAAATACACTGAGAAAATGCAAATGATAATCACAACGGCCTCTCAAAAGCTAATATATGGGTAAGTTGCATGAACAACAGGAATAGATTAAAGGATATTTCCATGCATACCACTCAATTCCTATGTATTTATATATCTAACATGTAAACTTTGTTTTTTTGCATTTATACCGGCCAAATCTTTCATATCATATCAAAAATACCACTCACACATTTCCATGATTAGGAAAGGTGGTATATTATATAATAGCTAGAGCAAGAAAAATTTAATAGAAGACGCACCTTCGGGACTTCAAATCCTTCTTTGGTGCTAACCACATCAGCTTTTTGCAGCCAAGAAGGTAAGACAGCTTTCTGCGGATCTTCAAGTGAAGTAGAATTACTCTTTAAAATAACTGTAGCCTCTTTCTCGTACTGCTCATTACAAAGCTGGCAACGAAGCATTGACTGATATGGATTGTTTAATGTTCCAATTGGCTTGAAAACTTGTGGAAATAGCCCGCCGAAAGGGACAAATGAGTCCATGAAGCTGCACACATAAAACAAGACTGATAAAATCACTGAAAAGCATATTTAATAATAAAATTAAGGAAAAATTACAAACGTACCACACAATTCTTATGTATTTACATATCTTACACTTAAAATTTCATATCTACATGCATAAAACTTTGGTGCTTTTAAAAATGTGTATTTCACTTTTTAAAAGTGATAATAGTGCTATTTTCAATGCGATCATAAAGATTTGAGCACTATGTGTGTAAATATAAAAGTCGAGGTGTGAGATTTGTAAAAACATAAGAATTATGTGCTGTGGTATGTAAATGCCCCTAAAATTAAATGCCAAGTACAGTATTATTCAGGTTTGTAATAACCATCCTCAAATATCTGGTTCAGACAAGAGCCCTTTGACAACAAGTACTAGATTTATTCTTTTAGTCAAGTGCTCAGATTGAGTCTAATATTCATGATCAACTGGTTCAAATTTTTATGCAGTTTGGTTTTTTTTTTCTGCATTTGGACCTAATCATTTTAAGATTTTGGATCTCTCTTAAAAATTTCAAACCACGGAATACTCCGTACATGTGCATGCATGCTACAAGTGCATGCATGCATATTTGCAAACATGCTAACATGCATATGCATGTATTTATCTAGTGTTTTCTGGAAACCAGTAAAGAACACAAATTCAGTGCTAGCACAGTAAAATCAGCAGCTTCAGTTTCAATTACCCAAGTATATTTAGTTGGTAAAATCTTGGGTCCAAACAAATAAAAACCATAAGTTTTAATAGTCTCATAAATAAAGACCATGCCATAATACATGGCATGGAATGCGGTTGATATTGTCCAATAACCGTCTGGAGAATAAAATCTTGTACAAACTCCATTGTTGGTTTTAATTTAACTACCACATAATTTTGAGTCTACGTGGAAGAGGCATATATAACTAAGGAAATTTTGAGAGATTGATTTTTTATTGAAACATAAGTATTTATGGATAGAAAATATGCAGGGATTCTAGTTCATTTCATAAAAGTACTAAAAATGATTCAGTTTATGGCTTATTTGGTTGGCAGCAAAAGGAGTGCATTGCATTTATTTTGCAAGTGTTTAAAGATTCAAATGTTCAGTCGAAAGAAAAATAAATGCAGAGTAAAATTCTAATGTATTTGGAATTGGCTATAGTTCATTTTCAATCATGGTGAATTTGGAATTCATTGAAATTGGGTGAATTCAAAATACACTGATTTTTGTAAGGTAACGCCGCCACCCGCTGTCGTCGTCCACCTGCCAGTCGCCACAAATTTTATCACGTTTATTTTACATTGGATTCGCTTTTCTTCAAAGAATATGCAAACTCCATTTATTTTACATTGAATAAAGCAGATTTAAAATATTCCAAATACAATACATTATTTTAACACTGTATTATTTTTCAGCAAACCAAACAACCCTTTAATTAGATGTTCTGCATTTGCCCCCGGAGCTTGTTAGGATGCTAATTGTTTTCCAATGCTTCAAATAGGCCTTGACCTATCCAAAATATGTACCTCATATTGGCATTGTGTAAGGACATGTTTTTAACAAAATACAAATGTGATTATAATGTAGCAAACTGCATTCGCGACCTATGTAATAAAATCTCATGAAAAATCAGTGGTTTGGATAACCTTTATAAAAATGGTCTGGAAAACCATGATACTTACCAAGTTGTTTAAATCTCTCTCATAAGAGGCCAAAACACTTAACCTTGGAGATCCTAATGACATTCTGACCATTACATCAAAAAGTGCCTCAAAATTTAAGAGTTCAGCTTTATTCTATTTAACAGGTTTCACACCTCTTCCCAGCCCATGCACATCCCTTTAGAAATAAAATATCCCTATTTCATTTGGAAGAAAAGCTCCTCAAATTGTTCCATCTACAAGTCATTTCTTCCCTCTTTTTAACTCTGCAGAGTAGCGTTCTTTGCCTGTTAGATGTTGTAGCCACCTTGAGGTTCTAGTTGGCTACTTCCTGCTACTTCCTTTCTCACGATTTGCCAGCTTTCTATTTTGCCGATATTGTCTTCCCTTGTACTACTCGCTCCTGTAATCATACCTTCCATATAGCATGTTACCCTTCCGACACCCAATGTGGACAATTTGGACAACTACTTCTAGTGAAAGACTCCTTGCATCAGTGTAAGCAAGATTATTCATTTTCTGGTGATTTCTATCTTTAGTATTATCTCCTAAATGATTTAATTATTTATTTTTTGTTTGTGATTGAGATTTTGTCAAACAAAATATGTGATGGGTTTTACTTTTGAAGTCTGAACTTGATTATTTGCTGAATTTTATTTTTGGTTGTAAATTTTGTATGAAAGTTCTAGAATTTAGGTGATTGTTAGATACCAGTTGAATGAAAAAATGGTGCTTGTTTCCCTTACCCTGAAAGTGATGTTTTTTTGCCAAAATTATGAACTAATCCTTCAAACTATGAAGCCTTATATGTTGTATATTCCATCTTACCCGGGGTTGCGATAGACATCTTATGCCCCTATGCAACCTATTTCCATCTTGTCTCATAGATAATATGCATAAACTCATCATCACCATCATCATAACGTTCATCTCCATAGATCTTTGGGACTGTTGTATGACAACAATTTTTAATCTTATACCTAAGCATAAAAAGGTGGCGATAACTAAGGGGCATTTTGGGATCACCTTTTTTTTTCCTATTTTTTGTTTTTATTTTGTTTTGTTTATGTTTTGAAACAAAACATATTTGATATGTTTGATTAAGACATGGTTGTTTTTGAAAACACTCAAAAGTGATTTTGAGTGTTTCAAAAACATGTTTATTTGTTTTTAGAAATGAAAAATAAAAACATGCTAAAAACACATTAAACAATCATGTTTTTAAAGACAAGCAAAAATATAAACAAAATAAAAAAATAAAAATTGATCCCAAACAAGCCCTAAATAAACTACCAGCATTTTCTGTCTAATTAAATTGAGCCATGCAGCTTGAAATGTATCGAGCATGAGCTCAACTTGGACCAAGTAGCCCATTGTGTTTGTGACCCAACATATCACTCATAATTAACATTACATGTTCCTTCATAGCCCAAATGAGAAACAAAAAATAGTTGCAAAATTCAATGGTGAAGGTTGATGTCCGTTGGCAGCCATTGTTGATGCAACACGCGTACGGAATACATTCTTAAGCCTTGAGATGCATTTACGGCTTCTACGAAAGTCCGAGAATAATGTCTTACTTATATTCAGGCCTTCGAGGTTCACAGGTAGGTCAAAATCCCCTCCGACAGACTTTTCTGGAGGTCCATCTTTGTGGGATTCCGACTTGACCACGCCTGGATTGGGCTTGGTTATGCCCAACCCAGACGTGACCATGCTTGAGTCCTAGTGTGCCCACACCGTAAACTCCTAAAAAGCGCCCAAGACCCTCAGACGGCGTGACCATGCCTGAATGAGGTGTGACCACGCCATCCAAACCGAGAGCCTGACGTAATTACGCTGGGTCTCAGGCGTGACCATGCCAAAATCCTTGAAGGCGCCCAGGGCTCTCAAGCGGCGCTACCACGCCACCCAAACAGAGCCTGACGTAACTACGCTGGGTCTCGGGCGTAATCATCACCGGTACTTCGCTGTAGCTCGGAACTCCGCCAGAATCTTGTCGGACTCTCCTTCTAGAGGAGAGCTTCTTCATTTTTTTGGAGGAGTGGAGCAGACCTTGTCGGAATTTCGTCATCTCTCCTACGACAAGGAGCGCTTCTTCTGGAACGAACGTTGGACTTCGATCAACAACCGCGGTAGTGAGACTCCTTAAAATTTCACAATTTCCATTCTTAGAGCCCCTAGGTTTGGATGTTAGAAGAGCTAGGTTAGGTTTGTTTGTGCCTAGAGGAAACCCCCTAGGATTAGGAGCCTTTGCGATCCCCCTGCGAATCCTCGAGCAATGCCTACCCATTTTTCCTTTTTAGACCAAAAATTTGAAAGACAAGGTTGCATTAATCCCTCCGTTTGTATTGGTGGTTTCATCCGGATGGACGTTTGAAACCTATTAACCGAGAAAATGAAGATGTTCCTTTGGTCTTCGCCCCCTTAGTCATGGGGAATCCTCCTCACGAGAGATTCTCCACCTCGTATCGTGCATACGGAGGTGAGCGTTATGTTGATTCGCAAAATGTGACGTTGGTGCACCTCTCCATCGCTTGTTTACCCAAAGTAAGCCGTGAGATCGTTAGGGCGAGAGCTTGTCTTTGTTATCGAGCATGATCGGATCTCCATTATGTGCATGTGTCCATACTCGCATTGAGTGCCTTGCATGAATTTTAAGATTGCATAAAAAATGTCCTTTTTGCATGCGTCGTTGACCGATCGCACATCTTGTCCAGCTCGATCTACTGTTGTCGTCAGTTTGATCGACTATCATCATCTGTTCGATCGATTGGCCTCCACCGGCTCGATCAATTTGATTAACTCTTCTTGTCGGCTCGTCCGATCGACCGACGCCGGTCCGATCGGTTTGACTAACCCTTTCTCGTTGATCAGCTGCCTACGCCTGCCTGGTTGATCATCTTTGTCAACTCGATCGATCAACCAACATCAGTTTGATCGGATTGACCGACTCTACTTGTATGTTGCATTATTGCATGTTTGTTTCATGTTGCTTGTGTGATCACATCTCACACCATGCACCTTGCATGTATTCGTAAGCATATGCCCTCATATGCTCATGGAGGGCTTATATGTCCCACTTTGGCAGTACCTTTCGTGCCTACTTTGTGACGTCCTCGTGTCACGATGCACTAAACACTTTGTATGTTTATGCTTGCACACTGACATCCTCGCATGATTGACTGCATGATGCATTTGCAGGCCTTGCAATTGTGTTTGTTTTCTCACACACTTATCTCTCACATTCACACATCATGTGAATGGATGGCTCGTAACCGAGCTAACCCATTGTGCAATTCCCTCCAGCAGGAACACTCCTTATGCTGCCTCTCTGGATT